TATTATTATATTATTATTATTATTATTATTGTTATTTTAAGTAGGCTCCATGCCCAGTATGAAGCCCAACATGGGACTTGAACTCATGACCTTGAGATCAAGACCTGAGCTGAGATCAAGAGTCAGAGGCTTAACCAACTGACCCACCCGGGCGCCCTCCCAAAAATTATTTTGTTCATTTTTCCCAAAATAAATGAATCCTTCAATGACTTGTGTGTAGAGTGTTTCTTTCTTAATATAAGGAAAAAGAAGGCATGTATGGATGCTTAAGCCCAGGAAGCAAATCACCACCCAAATGAAATTCTGTATCATATCATTTTGGTGGTGATCTGATTGCATATTAATTAAAAATATAACATAAATGAATATAATTTGTAAATTCCTTACAAGTAAATATAAATTATACATAAGATTGTATATATGTTATGTGTATACCCATACATATAAGTGGTCATCACACATTTACTTTTTCATTAACATTTGTTCTACCAACATAACAAAGATAATGGGTCTAAAAGCATGAGATCACTAAATTGAAGGCTGCTGTTAGCTACAATACAACACTTAATCAGAAAGACTCAGTTTGGGGCAAGCATGGACCAAAATAAAAAATAAAAGTCATACAGAAAGGTGTGGGGTGATGGAATTTCCCTCAGGCTCCCGGCACACACATGCTGGTACATTCCTGAGTGTCACATCTATCGGAAGCAAAGGAAAGGCTCGGATTTCTACACCCACGTGTCCTCCCCCAAGGCTGGGCCCTTGGACCTTCTGTTCCTCTGCACAGAAACTGTGCTCCCAACGCCACAGCCTCACAGCTGAATCTCTGAATATGACAAAAATCCCATCAGACCTGATGACAGGTTGTTGGACTAAATTACTATGTTAATTAATCATGTTTCCTATACATACTTTCCAACCTGTCCATAATTATCCGTGCCACTCTATAAATTGCTTATTCCTTAAGCTATTTCCAGAGATAACTCTGCGGCTTGAAGAGAGAAGACATCTTCATTTTAGGCAGGTTTGCTTGTAATTAAATAGTCAGAAGGCAACATCCTTCATTCTGTCCAAAGCCCCATCTTCCTTCCTTCTCAGATACCCTCCCGGGAGCCCGGACCAGCCTGGCCGAGGTCCACGGCCACCTCGCCAACATTATTTCCATCTCTATTAATCATGCGTCAGGACTTGAGGTGAAATACAAGAAGGATTTCATCTTACTCCCTGATTTCTGAATAGATAAAAATCCCCTTCCCCAAGGGTGCCTTGGGGACCCTTGCCCAAGTCCTGACTCGTGTTTCTTCTGTGAGAAAGTCAAAGACGGCGAGAGAACCAGGGAGGGGAAGACCCGTTATTTCTTGCCAAACAACTGCATGTACAGGAACTTAACGGACTGTTGGGTGCATGATACTGTCTTAAGTGCTACCTCCCAGCCCCTCATCCCCCCAAAACAGAGGAAAAAAAATCTGCACCCTGAGTGGGGGCCCTCTCCCCCACAGTCCTCCCTCCTGGTGGATATCTATTCAAGGAGCCCCACCGGACCCTCACGGGCAAAAAGTGCTCACTCTTCTTTACACGGCCTCCCGAGCTGACCCCCGAGAGCCATCAGCTCCCAGGGGTCACCTCCCTTTATGGTTCCCAGGGGAAGGTGCGGGCACGGCACCCAGTGGTTCCCACCACAGACACCCTCCCCTCCCCACCTCCTGCCCCTTCTCTTCCCTCCATGGCACCCTGGCCAGCGCCGGCCCCGCAGGCTGCAGCCTCTTTCTAGTAGCCCCTCTGGAGGACCTGGGGGTCCCTGGGGTCTGGGTCATTTGGAGCCTTTGGGACTTCAGCCGAGGCTCAGAGATCTCTGCTTTCCCATCCTGTTACATTCACTCATAAGAAAGTGTTGTTTTCGGGGCACCTGGGGGACTCAGTGGATTAAGCATCCGACTTCGGCTCAGGTCATGATCTCACAGTTTGTGAGTTCAAGCCCCGCATAGGGCTCTGTGCTGACAGCTCAGAGTCTGGAACCTGCCTTGGATTCTGTGTCTCCCTCTCTCTCTGCTCCTCCCCTGCTCACACTCTGTCTCTCTCTGTCTCAAAAATAAACTTTTTTTTTTTAATCTTAAAAAAAGAGAGGGGGGGGAGAGAGAGAGAGAGAGAGAGAGAGAGAGAGAGAGAGGGAGAGGGAGAGAGAGAGAGAGAGAGAGAAAGAAAGTGTTGTTTTCCTGAAGTCACCAACCACTGTTGGTTACTGTAATGTGTCAGAGGGATCACTGAGCCACTTGCTTGGTACCTCCCTTTTATTGTCTTGTACAGTTAGGAGCTTTTCCAACTGAGGCCATTGCACTTAGTGAAAAGCACACTGCATTTGGGGGAGGTGACCTTCATTTCCCTCCTGGCTCAGAAGGCTGCTGTCAGCCTCCTGAGGGGATCCACTCTAAGGCTGCAAAATGTTTAAGCGCCACCCCAGCCCCACCCCAGCCCCACCCCAGGCTCTGGTGAGAACCAGGGAACATGGTGTGTGGACGAGCATTTTGCACAAGGTGAGAGCCTGTGTGGTCAGGCACCCGGCACATTGTTACCTCACTGACTCATCCCGATGACCAGGCCAGGCTAAGTACTCTGATCACCTTTTTTTTTCAATTTTTTAAAGTTTATTTATTTATTGAGAGACAGAGAGAGCAAGCAGGGGAGGGGCAGAGAGAGAGAGAGAGAGAGAGAGAGAAAGAGAGAGAGAATTCCAAGCAGGCTCTACACTGTCAGCACAGAGCCAGATATGGGGCTCAAACTCACAAACCGTGAGATCATAACCTGAGCCGAAACCTAGAGTAAGATGCTTAACTGACTAAGCCACCCAGGCACCGCCCCCACCCCCCATCACCATTTTAAAATTACAAAGCTGAATTACCGGTGAATTACCGGTGAATTAAGGAGTTTTCCAAGATTTACACCCAGATCCATCTCATCCAAGAGCCAAGATTTTTCCCCATCATATTTACACTCAGTCAAGACTGGAGAAAGGATCGAGAAAGCCAGGAGCCACCATTACGGTCTGTCCTTAAAGATCAAGGTTCCAGGGCCACCTGGGTGGCTCAGTCAGTTGAGCATCCAACTTTGGCTGAGATCATGATCTCACAGTTCACGAGTTCGAGCCCCACTTCAGGCTCTGTGCTGACAGCTCACCCTGGAGCCTGCTTCAGATTCTGTGTCTCCGTCTCTCTCTGCCCCTCCCCTGCATGTGCTCTCTCTCTCTCTCTCAAAAATAAATAAGAACATTTTTAAAAATTAAAAACGGGCCACCTGGGTGGCTCAGTCGGTTGAGCGTCCGACTTTGGCTCAGGTCATGATATCATGGTCCATGAGTTTGAGCCCTATGTCAGGCTCTGTGCTGTCAGCTCCCAGCTTGGAGCCTGCTTCAGATTCTGTGTCCATCTCTCTGCCCCTCACCTGCTCATGCCCTCTCTCTCTCTCTCTCTCAAATATAAATATACATTAAAAAAAATTAACGAAAAAAATTTTTTTAAAGATCAAGTTTCCAGGGGCTGTGCAGCTTGCAAACAGTGAGAACCGTCTTCTCTCCCCTTGTCCCCTCAGCCCACTGTGGCAATGGCCTTCAGGAAGACACAGATCTGCTCCTGCTACCAGGGTCTCTTCACCCACATTCCTCTGTAAAGCAGAAAAATATGTGACAGTGCTTTGTGATCAACTGTTCAGAAATATGACACACAGCTGCATATGCATAAGCCCTCATAAAGAGATTGCAATTTGTTTTTTACTTTTTCTTTTTTTTTAATTTTTTGTAACATTATTTTTTTTTAATTTTTTTAACATTTATTCATTTTAGAGACAGAGAGACAGAGCATGAATGGGGGAAGGTCAGAGAGAGAGGGAGACACTGAATGTGAAGCAGGCTCCAGGCTCTGAGCTGTCAGCACAGAGCCCGATGCAAGTGGGGCTCGGAACTCACGGACCGGGCGTAGATCATGACCGAGCCTTTTAAGTCGGGTCGCCCAACTGACTGAGCCACCCAGGCGCCCCTAACATTTTTAAAATTTATTTTGAGAGACACATAGACAGAGAGTGAACAGGGAAGGGGCAGACAGAGAGGGAGACACAGAATCCCAAGCAGGCTCCGGGCTCTGAGCTGTCAGCACAGAGCCTGATGTGGGGCCTGAACTCACAAACCATGAGATCAGACCTTTGAGCCAAGTTCGACGCTAACCCACTGGGAGCCATCCAGGCTCTTCTGTTTTTCTAAAAAAAAAATTTTTTTTAATGTTTATTTATTTTTGAGAGACAGAAAGGGAGACAAAGAATCTGAAGCAGGCTCCAGGCTCTGAGCTGTCAGCACAGAGCCGGACGTGGGGCTTGAACTCACGAACCTCAAGATCATGCCCTGAGCCGAAGTCAGACACTTAACCAACTGAGCCACCCAGGTGCCCCTGTTTTTTCCTTTTCATTAATTATGTTCATCCAACAGAAATCACATGCCCTCATCAACAAAGTTGCAGGCAAGAACCCATTTTTAAAAGAGAGTGAAGAAATATGTAGTAAAGGTTTCACAGAACGACCACCACATACACAGCATCGGTGCTGGCAGTCGCTCTGGGGTTCCCCTGCCAAGAAGCTTCTGGATAAAATCCACCCCCCACCCCCCCCCGCCCAGGAAAAATCAGTAGCACTGATACCATGGGAATAATCAGTTCTCATCCTTCAGGATCAGACAAAAATCTTTCCACTTAAGTGTCTTGGGACAATTCTTCTGAAACATCATCATCACAGACTCACATGTACTAATATTAATAATTACAGCAACTACAATATTAATATTGACTAACATTAGCCAACGATTATAATATATAATATATATGATATAATAGTTATAATTATATTAAGTAGCCATATGTAATAATTATAAAATTAACTAATAATTGCAATATGTATTAAGCACTGACTGAGCATTTGACACCATACAGGGCACTCCATGCCTTCTTTCCTAAATCCTCAAGAGGACGCCAATGAGATGAGTACTATTCTTATCCTCATTTTACAGATAAGGAAATTGAGGCTTAGCAAGGTGAGATAACTTTCCCAAGGTCAAACACTTCCAAGCGGCAACAAAACATTTGCTTAGGGAACCAGCATTAACGTGGCTTTTCCGAGACCCTGGAATGAACGGTGCCCCTCCAGATCCTCGGAGGCTAACTCAGTCATGTGCCCAAACTTCAAGACTGTAAGACATCAAATAATCCTAAGACGTCCACGAGTTTGTTCGCTGTCTCTGGAAGGATGCACAGGGCACAGAACATGAGGAGATTGGCAGGGCAGGGGTAAAAGTTGCCCGCAATGAGCGTCAACAGCATATTGAGAGCCCACTAAAGCTGTTTCCTTCATTAAAAATCACGTTTTGTCCAGTAATCCAAAACTGTGCTCTTTGTGGACCAACTCAAAGTTTCTGAGGTCGTCAACGGCCACAAAAGACTTTGCAGTTTTACAACTGGAATGTTCCCTCCTCTGTTTCTGTTAAAAGATGTTTTGCAGAGATACTAAGCAGTTGCTGATGCGCTGTGCCCAGAGGGACACACAGGCTCATCGCTCTTGTTTTCTTCTTGCCCTCTAGAAACTGCGCGAACTTTCAGGGCTGTGGGTGGGGGCGTTCAAGAGCCAGCATTGGGGCTGTTCCTGGCCAGTGGCTGGCCTAGGGTATCATCCTGGCTGAGTGAAATCCAAGCAGCAAGATGGCCCAGGAACTAGATATAAAAGGAAACTGCCCCCTTGCTGGTGTCCAACCCTCAGCTTTCTGCCCATAGCCCCCTAAATGTTCAAATGCTCATGGAACTTTCACTCTCAGACTGATAGACACCTCAGGTTCAAGCCTAAAAGCAAAGCGTGAATCACTGCCAAGGACAAATGGCTCCCCGTGTTACCCCTGTAACTTCAGGCAAGTCTCTCCTGCACAAAATGAAGGCTGGAACTGGAGGGGTGACTCTAAGCCTGGTCCCAGGGAAATCAGACAGTGTTAGGGGGGTCAGCTCTTCGTACCTATTTTTGGTCTGTTTGAATTCCTAGAGCATTTAAAACTGTCGCCTTAGAGATATTTGCTCTTGTCACTGTGACATCATTTTCCTCAAATAATACTATTACACATGCTAACTTTACACTTTCGGTTTGGTCACATCGCACGCGCAGGTACAGATGACCCTTGAACAACACAAGTTTAAACCGCACCAGTCCACCTATAGGTGGATTCTTTTTCTCATAAATACAGAAAGCCCTATAAATATATTTTCTCTTATGATTTTCTTAATAGCTTTTTCTTTAGCTTACTTATTGTAAGGATACAGTATACATTACATATAACATACAAAACCATGTGTTAACCGACTGTTTATGTTGTCAGTAAGCCTTGTGGTCCACAGGAGGCCATTAGTAAAGTTTGGGGGAGTCAAAAGTTATACAGGGATTTTCCACTGCGCGGGTGTCCGTGCCCCTAACCCCTGCATTGTTCAAGGTTCAACTGTAATTACACCCAGGAGTCATTTTAGGAATGGGGTTCAGCACACCCTCCAAATGGGGTTCAGCACACCCACCAAATATCATTTGTCTGCAACTTTAGTCTTAAGTCTTACAGAATGATTGGCAGAAATACTCCACCAATAAATAAATAAACAAATAGCCTCTGATTCTATAATCTATGCGACACAACACGACACAAATCACATGTTAAAAATTCTAGCATCAAACACGCCCCCTTCCTGGAATCCCCTTTCACACCCAGCTCGCCTGGATCACTCATTTTACACATTCCTCCAACACGGTTAAAACGAACGCAGAAAGCAAAGGCACGCGGGCTTACTGCAGGGCCACGGCTTACTCACACACTCCTCCAAAAAGAAACTTAAGGCCAACGCTGGGCCGGACCCGCTGCTTCTACTCCCCAGTCTGAGCTCCTCTGAAAATACGATAAGGAAGAAAGCCCCACGAGTTCCATCAGACACCTACCGCTATGGACCCAGAAGATGTGGCAACAAACACTTTGATAACCATTTTGACAGTCGGAAAGAGGGCTCCCCCCAACACACACCCCCGGGAGGGGACGCGGCGCTAGCCCGGCCGAGCAGGCAGCAGGTGCCAGGTGCGAGCTGGCGGCCGCCCAGCGCGGTCTGAGCCCCTGCGCCTCCCGCCGCAACTTAAGCTCTGCGCCTGCCCCGCGCGGCGCCGGCGGCGTGGGCTTCCCCGCCATTGGCCCGGGAGCGGTGGGCCTCTGCCAGGCAAATACGTGATTGGTCGATAAAAGCAGCCCCTGACTTTGAACGCCCGACAACAGCCCCTAAAAGGCAAGGCTGCGCCGCGCACCAATCAGACGGCGGCGCGCAGACAGAGGCCGGCCGGCGGGCGGGAGGGCGGAGGGAGGTGGGCGCGGGTGGCGGCGCGGGGCGCTGGAAAAGCCCAGAAGACGCCAGCTCCGTCCCCGCGGACGCCGTGTTCGCGAGGCTTTTGGCAAACGAACAGCGAGGGGCCTTGAAATAAACAGAGGCTTCCCGACTTTCGAGTTTCCCGGCCGATTAAAACACTTCGGCCAACTCTCCAATAGATTCCTTTATGCGTGGCCCGTTGACAGTTTTCTCCCTTTACCACCTGTTCCTCCTAAAGAACAGAGGCTGACAGGCCGCAGACGGGTAAGGTTTCACTAATATCCCAGACGAGGCAGGGCGACGGAGGCGGGCTGTCAGTACGGATGAGTTCAACAAGCATATTGTCTTAACTATTGAAGAGGCGTTGGGAGAAAATAAATGTCGCAGTCTCTGTCCATCTGATTTATGCAGACCATTTGAATGGTGTTAAAAGTTAGAGGACTTAAAAATCTAGTAAAAAGCCCAAATGCTACTGCCCAGTGTTTATCATGCGTTTCAAAATCAAGATCAAGGACATAGGAGACAAAAAGCATCAGTCTTATTTACTCCTTTTAGATAACGGAGTCTCTCTTTCCTTTCTCATTTTTTTTTTTTTTTTCTCTTAAATCCCTGCTACCCCTGGAGGAAGTGTTACTGGCATACTGGAGCAGGGAGGGATCTGTGGGCCTTCTCCACCCGCCCCCTTTTCCAGAGTCCCAGGGGCCTGGAGGTCTAGTCCCACCCCCTTGGATAGGTGCCTTTGATGAAAAAGGTCGCCCCATCCCTGTAATGGAGATCAAACTCATTTACATCAGAATGAATTATTTAAACCACTACCTTTTAACTCAGAGCTTCACTTCTCAAAGTTTACTTCCCAAATTAGGCCCTTGGTAAAGATGCTTACTGGTTCCCCAAATTTAAGTCATTAGCATTGTAAATTTTATTTTTCAATTTTTAAGTTTATTTATTTTGAGAGAGAGTTGGGGGGGGACAGAGAGAGAGGGAGAGAGAATTCCAAGCAGATTCTGCACTATCAGCACAGAGCCTGATGCTGGGCTCAAACTCACAAACCATGAGATCATGACTTGAGCCAAACAGTTGGAAGCTCAACGGCCTGAGCCACCAGGCGCCCCTGTAAATTTTATTTTAAAGGCCACCTAAGATTATAAATCATTTTTGCTCCTCTTCTTTTCTGTATTTTCAAAATTACAAAGGATTTACAATTTTTGTCATCAAAGTATTCTTTCAACACTTTAGTCTCAACATCTACCACATGAGCATGCTACTTTTTTTCTAAATACAAGAGATTAATAAGCTATACATATTTCTCAATGTTTCTGTAAATTAGTAACATAAACTACAGCTGGACTCTCAGGTGCCATACAGAATATACATCTGCTGATCATATAGGGCAACACTGCCTCTGACAATGACATTCCCCCTCCATCCATGCACCCTAGGGAGAAATAAATACCCTACCTGAAATAAGAGCTAACAGTTTTTAGGTGTTTGCCTCGTGCCACATCTGTGCTAAGCGTTTTGCATAGACCACTTCCTTAATCTGCACAACACTAGCACTGGATTCCACTACTATCCCTCCTCAAGGATGAAGACTGAGAGAGGCACCTGGGTGGTTCAGTCAGCATCCGACTTCAGCTCAGGTCATGATCTTGTGGTTCATGGGTTGGAGCCCCGCATCGGGCTCTGGGCTGACAGCTCAGAGCCTGGAGCCTGCTTCCGATTCTGTGTCTCCCTCTCTCTCTGCCCCTCCCCAGCTCGCTCGCTTGCTCTCTCTCTGTCTCAAAAATAAATAAACAGTAAAAAATTTTCTTAAAGGATGAAGACTGAGAACTGGGTATGATAGAACAGGAAATGGTACGTCCAAGACGCAAACCCAACCCATCTGTCTCTGCACCACATCAGAGAAACTCCTGATACACTACCCTCAAACTCCTAGTGCCCTCTCCTTGCACTATGAATTATCCTTTTAATAATGAATTGATAGGGTGCCTGGGTGGCTCAGTCAGTTAAGCGTCCAACTTCAGCTAAGGTCACAATCTCACAGTTCGTAGGTTTGAGCCCCACTGTCAGAGCAGAGCCAGATGCAAGCCTCCAACTCATGAACTGTGAGATATGCCCTATGCTGAAATCACCCAACTGAGCCACCCAGGCACACACCCCCCCCCAAGTGATAAAGCTCAACAAGGGGTGCCTGGGTGGCTCAGTTGGTTAACTGTCCAGCTGTTGATTTCAGGTCAGGTCATGATCTCACAGTTCATGGGATCAAGCCCCGAGTCTGGCTCTGTGCTGACAGCACATATCCTGCTTGGGATTCTCTCTCCCTCTCTCTCTGCTCTTCCCTACTCAAGTGCCACTTGTACTCTCTGTCTCTCTCTCTCTAAAAAATAAATAAAAACATTAAAAAAAATTTTAATAAAAAAAATAAAGCTCAACAAATCTCTGACTTAGAAAATCCACTTCAGGGGCGCCTGGGTGGCGCAGTCGGTTAAGCGTCCGA